TCGGCATTCTCTGTATGCTGGGTTCCTGCTTCTCTGCCCACTCCTGGCTCCAGTCCCATACCTGGGCTCATTTCCCAGGGCTCTCACTTCTTCCCTTCTCTCCCCACTAGTCCTTGGTGCAGCCAAGTCTTCAGCTCTTGCTTCTGAGAGGCTGACAGTGGAACTGAGGGTGTTGATCTTGACTCCTCACTGCTCCAGCTGCCCAGACCTGGTTCCCTTACAGCTGTCCCCCATACCCACTCTTGCTTGCTTGCCCTATGGGAGCCTGAGCCAGGCATCCTCCATCTCACAGCCTCATGGACAATCTTCCAGGGACTCCAACTGCCTTACCACCCGCACACAATCACATGTCAATTCCAGATCAATGTCACAAGATACCTCTAATGTCTACCAACTACCCAATAGCAAATACTTAAACAAATGGCTAATACAGAATAAAGTACTCTCCAGTGGAGAATTCGGAGTCCTTCACAGAATGGGCAAGCACATCTCCACACCTCCCATGGCACACCCCAGTCCCTCCCAAGAGGCTCAGGCGGTCTTGCTGGTATATCGTGCTCTTTCCTGACCCTGCACCTTTGCTCCTGGTCTCCCTTCTCTGTCTCTCTACATATACCCTTGTCACTAGGTCAGGCCCTCCCCCTGTCTCTATCATATACAACAATCTAGACTTTGGGAAGGCGAGTGTGTTACTTCAGGTTAGAGAGGGTCTGTTTTTAGTCAACCATCACTTTGAAGTAGACAGACTACTCAATTGCTGGAAAGCCAGACCTCCTCTGAGTAGGCCAGAGCTGCTGGAGTAGCACCTGCCAGTTCACTTCTGCTAACCTAGGCAGGAGGACACGTGGGCTCTCTGGCATCCAGTTTTCTCTCGTGGGCACTACATACCTGTACCTACCGGCCAGCGTCCTACGTACAACCTCCCGCCCAGAGACGTGCTGCCTTGTCACCGCCATTTAAACACAGTGACCGCAGAATGTCTCTCAGGAACTGGGACATGCATTAACTCGAATCTCATCAACCATTTTCTGTCTGAAATATAATAACCGCATCCTGAAAAATTCAAGAGTCTCGTAAAAACCTGTCACATCCATCTCACTGTGAACAGGCTGATAGTTGAAAAGGTCTCAAAATGCCCTCCTGCCAAAAGTGACAAGCAACAAAGAGTCTCAATCACTGACCACACTCACTTTTATTTTACAGACACATTACTTACTTGGGAATGGTTACTCGAGGTCTCGATTTTCTCCTGAGACTTATCTCTGGCTAGTTTGGCAGCTTCTTTCACCTCCTGGAATTTCTCTGCAAACTGAACATGAAGGACAGCTGTTAAGGTTTTTATCGCCTTATTCATGGCTAATATTCAGGATCCATTTTCATTATGTTGGATCCATTTTAAGCCAATACATTCTATACAAATCTAGGAGAATTTTATTTGAAATGAAAAAGAAATGAACATTAGGAATGCTTTCTGTCCAGTAAACACTACTGGCACAGGTCAGACAACCAATTTCTTTTTTTGTTTGTTTTTGGGTTTTTATGAGAGGTTTTTGCTATAGGGCGCGTGCGCTCGCCAGTCAGACAGAGAGAAACAGAAAGACAGAAAGCAAGAAATCACCCCCCAGGGGGGATGGCCACACCGCAATCCCTTCTCTGTCGTTCTCTTGGGATCTTGGGCACACACGCACACGTGCCCGGAGTGAGTTTTAAGCCACTGGGTCTAGGACGTGAACCGTGGTCGACTACATGGCAGTCCAGCGACATAGCCATTATGCTAACTGCTGGTCCCAAACCCAAACCAATTTTTAAACTACTCAAGCTAGCTTGAATAAAGTACTAAAAACAAGCCAAAAAACCTCAGATAAACAGAAAAATATAAAAGCAATAAAACAACTTCAGTTAAACCACAGAGGGAATTCATGTACACCTTTATAAACCCTATTGAATAGATCTGAGCGCTGTCTTAAGTCAATGTCCTAAAAAATAGAAACATCCAAAAAGCTAAGGGTAAGGGATTGTTCTAAATTTTTTATTTTTTGGAGAGGTTTTTTGCTATAGGGCCCGTGTGCTCACCAGAAAGACAGAGACAGAGAGACAGAAAGCAATAAATCACCCCCGCCAGGGGGGATGGCCACACTGTAATCTCTTCTCCTCCATTTTCCTCTCAGGATGTTGGGCACGCACGCACATGTGCCCGGTGTGAATTTAAGCCACCAGGTCCGAGACTTGAACCATGGTTGACTACATGGGAGTCCAGTGACATAGCCATTAGGCCACCTGCTGGTCCCCAGGACTGTTCTAAATTTTAAAAGATGAAGATACAAAATAACAAAATGAACATGTAGCCTGTGATTGGAACCTGCTTTGAACAAACCAAATAGAAAAGACTTCAGGAGGAGGGATCAGTAGCCCCATAGGAAAACTCTCTCTGTATAAAAAAAAAAAAAAAAAAGACTTCCGGGGGATAATAGGGAAAGTCTGAACGTGGACTGGATATTAGATGCTATCAAGGAATTATTAATTTTGTTACAAGTGTTAATGATGGTAGGCCAGCCCTGTAGTATGGTGGATAAGCACTGTATATTGGGAACTAGATCCCATATGGCCAAGCTAGCATGAATCGAACATGGTAGGTTTGAATCCTAGCATGTTTTTCAAGCTGCTAGGGCTGGTATTTGAACTGTGGTCGACCAGGTGGATCTAGCTCCAATCATTATGCTATGGGACCAGTCCTATAGCAAAAATCGCTTAAAAAAAAACAACTCTCAGGGCAGTCACATCAATCACTGCCTTAGTCACTGACAAGCCACTGATTTTCTTTTTTTGTGAAGATTTTTGCTATTTTTGCTACAGGGCATGTGCGCTCACCAGAGAGAGAGAGAGGGAGAGAGAGAGAGAAATCACCCCCAAGGGGGCATGGCCATGCTGCAATCCCTTCTTCTCCACTGATCTCTCTGGATTTTGGGTATGCACACACACATTCCTAGCTAGAGTTTCAGGCCGCTGGGTCCAGGAATTGAACAGTGGATGACCACATGGGAGACCAGCATCTTGACCACTCTGCTGGACCCATCAGATACATTTTAAATAAACAATTATTTAAAGAAATGTGGTACTAGTAAATGCATGATGACATAGAACAAATGGGTAAGAAATGGGCCCTATCATTTATATAAAAATGAACTTAAAACAAAAAAGGAATTATATATTAATGTAGAAGACTGTTTAACATATGATTTTTGAGATAACTTTAGTAAATTGAGGGGAGGGGAATGAATTTAAATCTTTACCATAAACCAGGACATGATAAATTATTGATGAATTAAAGACTAAATATTTTTTTTTAAAAATCAAAACTTAATAAATTTGGATGCAAACAAAATTGAACACTTATCAGTCTTCTTGGTGGGTCATGTAGGAGTCTAGTGCCTTAACCACCATGCCATCTGCTTGGGGGGGGTAATTTTTAAAATTTAGAACAAATAAAAGAATATCACGAAAGTAACAAATTTCATTATAAAGCAATTAAAATATTTTGCATGTAAAGTGGAGAGGGAACTAGAAGGGAAAAAACAGCCTGGGGAAAATATCTATAGCTAAGCTAGTGCAGCAGAACAAACTGAAAAGAAAAATATAAAAACCCCAATAGGTAGAGGGCACATTTTATTAATAAAAAATGCAATAACTAGAAACTTATAGAAAAGATCATTCAGTCTTGCTGGAAAAGCAAATCAAAATAATCACACATCATCCTTTGCCTGCAAAATTACCCAATACTAAATATAATGATAATCCTGGGTACAGGCAAAATATTGTGTTGTTGGAAAAGTCATGATGCATTTCTGCACAGAAAAACAGAAAAATATGTCATGACTTTTCCAACAACCCAATAGTTCTGTAACACTGTAAACTGGCACAGCCCCACTGGGAAGCAATTTGGAAATGTGTATCATGAATGAAAAACATGCTTATCCCTACTGACCCAGAGATACTGTTTCTGGGAAACTATCCTGTGAAAATAATTGAGAATACAAAAAAAAAAAGACTTTCAATATAAAGATGTTAATTCTAGCATTATCTACAATAACAAAAAACTGGAAGCGATCCAGAAAGGCCTGGGAGAATGATAGGAAAAAGGTTTCCTCTCATAGCCTCTAACTGTTAGAAGAGAAGCACCAGTAATGAGAGGCACCAAATGATTGTCTTTGGTGAAAAACACCTTCCCTCCAAATCTTCAGCTTTCTAACATTTCTCTCTTATTATATTAAAAAAAATCATACATGCTTATAAATTTGGAAAAATCACAGTTTAGGGGGGAAAAAATCTTTCAAACCCTACGGTGCCATCACTCAGAGATAAGCACTAACCTCATAAATTTCCCAAATGTTGCCACCTGAATAGATGCATCCATCACATACATTTCTTAAAAAAAATTAAAAAGGAGGAATATTTCACATTTCATTTTATAGCCCCTTCTGGAGTTAACAATATGGCACTAATACTTCCAAGCAACTATATAACTACAACATTATCTTAATTGCTGCACGGTATTACCTGAAGAATATACTAGTGCTTATTTAACCAATGTTTTTGCTGCTGGGCATTTAGGTTGTTTCAGGTTTTTTTTCTTTTTTCCTTTTTTTTGCTATTATAAAAAATAGTCCTGCAAGGAAAATTTTTATAGCCTAATCTTTGTACTCAGTTTTAATCATTGCCTTAGAATAGATTCTTATAAGTGAAACTCATACATCAAAGGATACTCAAAACACAAAGATTTCAGAAATACACTGCCAAATTCTCATGTCTTCACTTCTGCGGTTTTTAACGTTGTGATAATCATTTCAATCAAAATCATTAACATCATTATCATGATAGAAGCTTCTGAGAGACTATTATTGCTGATTTTCTCTGTGACTTGTTTTAGTCTTGGCTATTAAAGCCCTGTGGCAGGCACTACTATTTGCTTATTCAAAATCTGTTCTTTTTCATTGTTTTTCCCCATTAGCTTAACAGAATCTCACATTTATCCAGAACAGGAAATTTCCTAGGTGCTAGAGAATGAGAGCTGGTCTAAGCCCATGATGGCAATCCTGGTGTTTTCTGGGGAAGGAGGAGGGGGTGGCTCAAGGAACCCAAGTCTGCCAGGGGCAGTTTCTAAGTTGTGGTACCATCCCTCTACCTCCTCTTCCATGCCACCATGCCACGTACGCAGGTGTGACAGACAGAGCTGGAGACAGCACCTTACTAACATGAGCCAACCAAAAAAAAGGGAAGACAAAGACAATGTAGAAAAACCCAAGCAGAACCCTCAGACCCAACATCATGTGGCCACTGTACCAGCACCAGCAATCAGGACCTAGATTTTAAACAGAAGAATAACGGTCCCAACACTTTGTTTAGGTTCTCTGTTACTTGCAGCTGAAAGTATTCTAACTAAAATACTGTAAATGAATAATTACTAGCCCCATTTTTTAAAATTGGTGATTAAATCACAGGATAAAAAGGTAGGAGAGAAGGACTGTTCTCACAAACACACAGAGTTAATGGAGTGAACCTAAGTGGATGCATTTGAATCAGATGGAAGCGCTGAGATGGCCTGGCCAAGAGTGGATGCCACGTGTACAGCAGGTCGGGATGGCTAAACCACAGAGCACTGCAGCTCCACCCTGGACTGCTCCCTCTTAATGGCGGAATGTGTTTCCTTCCGTCTGCGATGAACGTAATAGAGCCCAACTCAGAACAGTGACAACTCAAGGTCAGAAGCCAGGAAGAACTGCAACTTTTTTTTTAAAGCCTACTTTTTTTTTTTTTTGGAGAGGTTTTTGCTATAGGGCGTGTGCACTCGCCAGAGAGACAGAGAGAGACAGAGACAGAAAGCGAGAAATCACCCCACAAGGGGGATGGTCCCACCGCAATCCCTTCTCCTCCATTCTTCTCTCGGGATCTTGGGCACGCATGCACATGCGCCCGGCATGAGTTTTAAGCCACTGGGTCCAGGACTCGAACTGTGGTCGACTACATGGGAGTCCAAGTGACATGGCCATTATACCAACTGGGGGTCCCGAGAAACGCTACTTTTGTGGGGTTTTTTTTTTTTTTGAGAGGTTTTTGCTATAGGGCGCATGCGCTTGCCAGACAGACAGAGAGAGACATAGAAACAGAAAGCAAGAAATCACCCCCCAGGGGGGATGGTCACGCCGCAATCCCCTCTCCTCCATTCTCCTCTCCGGATCCTGGGCACGCACGCACATGCACCTGGCATGAGTTTAAGCCACCGGGTCCAGGATGCGAACTGCGGTCGACCACGTG